AAGAGCGGTCCGTCGAGGGAATGGTTTGATATGGTCCTCTTGGCCAGAACAAGGAGCAGTTCCAACAAATACAGCCAAAGCACGTTATACCACTATGCACGAATATAAGTATTCTACATTTTATAGTGTGTTTCAAAGATTTTACTTACTTGGTGGCCTGAGTCTCTTAGAGAACCAAACCCGTAGTGATTTAAACTGCTGTAACTTCATTTAAGTCAGTGGGGTGATGCTGATTTACTCTAGTTGTGGGGATGTTCATTTATATATAGGACATAAATGTAAGGGGTTGGGTTTTCTTCATAAGCCATTGTGGAAGATACCCTGAGTGGCCTTACCCATTCCCACTCTGGGCGTTACTGGCACTCTTCTGTACAACACCAGTATTTTCAGAAGGTGCTAAACCCCATGATGTCAGAGAGTTGAGTAGATGCTTTATACAGTGTTGGGCCCTAAGTAAACAGGACCAGCCCAACAATGTAACCAATAGAGACATATATACTAATTTTTATAGATAGATTCTTCTTGATATCCTTGGCTGCTTAAATTGTAAAAGACTAAACTTTCAGTTTAAAAAATCCAATGAAGACTCTCTGGATAAATACAGGTATTTTACTAAGTTACTTGAAACTCGACCTGCACATCCTGCACATTCTGAGCTGCCACTTTTCCCCAGCTTACAGGGTTATGTTACGTGTCCCTTACAGGTTCACAAAGTCACAGAACACTGACCTCTTAGAAAACAAATTTGCTAGAATCAAGATGGCAGAGATTTGTTTGTCTCGTGTGAATTATGTACGCTTTTTTTGACACAGTATTCACCTATGTAAAATCAGGACCATTCCCACCCTCAATGTATAAAATCTTTCAGAATCCGTTAATAAAAAGTGTTAGATTAAATGCAGGTGGTTTCTGTAAATTGTTACTGCTTTGCAGTTCAAGTAACTGGTTAGTCTTCTAGTGGAAAACCTACAAATCTTATCAGGATAAATCTCCTACTAATTCTAATAGATAATAGACAATTACTGGCCATAGGACTACTCAATGTTATTAAGTCTTGAAAATGATAAATAAGCATTTGGAAGCTGTCCAGTACATTTCTTTATATTGAAAACACAAAATCAATATATGGTTTATTGTCCCTTCCCCCCCCCCCCCCCCCCCCCCCCCCCCTTAAAATAGTTTCAGGTCATACAAGAAAGGATTTCATTTCAATATAAGTGAAACCCCCAAAGCTTTAATATATGATTTAGAATTTAAACAGCAGTTTTACATTTGACACAAGGCTTTGTAAATAGGTTAAAAGAAACAAAACAAAACCCCCAGAAAGGTGAAGGGAGGGTAAAGGAAGAGCCACGTAACACAGCAGAAATTCCTCTTTTATTATTGTGAAACATACTTTCTTTCAAGACATTTCATAAAGAATGAATCTCAGTAACTGCATATGTAAAAACTGCACATATTTTATGCCAAAAAGCAGATTACATTTGGCTTTAAATTGAAAACAATTGTAGAGAGATGGGTGTTAAATACTATTCTGAAAACTCTCATTAGATTTTCAGTTCATCCTTGACAGCCATCTAACACAGAGACCTCAGCTTAAAATGTCACCCACAGGTTTCAGTCCATAAATACTTTTGGCCCACTAGCCTTCTAGCACATTTTTATTCCTGTACTAATGATAGGAGGCCACAGCTAACCCAATTTTATCCTCTGCATTGCTCTGGTTGTGAAGATGTGAGGCCTAAGTGATCCAGGTCGGTGTACCACAATGTTTTTCTCTCAAAATGCGAGTTACGGTCAGTTCAGAGCCCGTACTGCTTGTACAGTAGATTGACACACAGAGAGCACAAATTGTCTGGTCTGTCAAACAAGTTCTTTAGTTACATTTTTCTTTTTATGATGGAATTAAATATGGGAAAAGCTCTATCTGCCAAGATTTTTGACTTGATATGTAGCTATCATTCTGTGCTAGAGCTGACACAGATCACTTCCTGATTGTACTGATCACACTTTTTGTTTAGTCACATGCAGGCTGCACTGTGCTATCTCTTTGTGCACTTGTGTGCTGTTGTGCAAAATGTTTCCTCTAGCCTTGCGATTTGCATACTCAAAATTTTTAACAAACTGCTCTGTGTTCAAGCATTTGCTCTGGTTTCTGTGCTGCCCATTAGTGCATCTGAGCTCAAACCCCACAAAACCAGTAGCAGTTGGAGAAAAAGATGGCTCGCGAGGACTCAGCAAGAGACAGGGAAAAGGCGATGCTTTTTTGTAGGGAGGTTATTTTCATGGAAATAAACCAAAGTGTTTGAGTTTGTAGTTTTAACTCCAGATTTTAAAGAAATGGATGGACTCCATACCTGATAGTTAAATACTTTTTATCTTTGCTAGATATATTTACTTTTCTATTTTTACTCTATGTAATGACCTTTTTGACTTTTTTAAGATTCAATAGACAAAATTTTTACAAGAGAAGGTGCTCCATTATACTTCACTAAAATACTTTTTCCCTTCTTTTTCCTTCATTTTGATGCGAATGCACTGGTTTTTTAGGTTCCTCTACCCCCCCACCCCAAAGGCATTTTTTTAATTAGTGCAGTAATATCCCTCCTGTTAAGCTTAATGGAAGATAAGATGCTATATATAACTAAATGCTGCCTTTAATTTAGGCTGGAAAATGATTTGCAATCTGACATTGGACTTTGTGTAGCCAGACTGTCTTCCAGAAAAGAGGTCATAAATAGGAAGTACCAAAATTCTAATTATAGTGAGTACAATTAATTTATATTAAGGGTTACAGCATATAAATTGAATCTTTTTCCCTCATTGTGCAAACTGCTAAGACAAAAGGATGGAGTCTGTTAAGCAGGAGGATTTTCAAAGAGAAGTGCCTACTTAAATTACCTTTTGCAATGAGTTTTGTATTTTCTTGATATTCCTATAGTCAACATATAGGTAGCTTAGCTTGATTTTATAGACCAAGATAATTTTCTCTGTTGTGGGCTGTGAAGTGTTGCATTTGATGACCATTCTTTGTTGAGGAAAAACAGATCAAATATTTGAGGTCTTTCACCAGCCTCTTGCTGTCATCTTTTTCCCGTTAATGAACCATAGCATTTTCAGACCTCTAACTGTGAGATGTTTCAAGCAGTCAACTCTGTGTGAATCCACAGTGAGAGTGAGGTTGATGGAAAAAGGAGGACATTTTGCGTACGGATTTCCATTCATAAAGAGCTCCTAGCAGAAAGCACTGAATGTCAGCTGCAGAGCTCCATTTTCCATGCTTAAAAAGTTGTACTTATCTCCAGAAATAGAAATGAAAGTCAGGACTGAAAGCTTTTATTGTTTGTCCTGACAGTAGATTAAGGAACAAATTCCGTGGGGTTATAGACTTGAAGAAGAATTTGAAGTGCTGCTTTGACAGACACAAAAGGATATCCCTCACTGCCTGAAAGCAAATGCTGCCTATTTCATTGTGCTTCTGATTACTAAACAGAGTTAACTGCATCAGCCTCTCCGAGTACTGGGGTGGAAGAAATCGGACATTCAAGGAGTCTCTGCTTTGCTGGATTAATCATTCCGTTCCTCCATTATTTAGTCTTTTGAGGCTGCTTTACAAAATTCTTGTCTCGAAAGGGTTTAATTTTTGTATTGTTTTAGGTTTTTTTTATTTTTATATATTGTCCTTTAGTATGTTTGCCTTTGTGGCAAGTAAATGAAAAGAAGTTGTAAGCCATCATGAAATGGTGACGGTAACCAAATCTTACAGAAGAATAGGTGCTACCCACTCTTCTTTTGGTGCATGCTTTAGGATTGACTGCGTTAGCTTTGAAAACAGAGTTTCCCAAATCAGATTTAAAAAAAAAAAAGGGG